CGGCCCGGCCCCGCAGCGGCCCTGCTGTGCCCCAAGCGCTCCTGGACGAGGAGAGTGCGGTCCACCCCCGGACAGCCCAACGTGTGCGCAGGGTAAACGGGTCGTTCGCCTGAGCAGGTGCTAAACAAATAGGGAAGGAGGCTAAAGCACAATTCCTTACTGTTTTTTTCTCTCACGCCATCTCCGTCGTAGCTTGCCTTTGTGCCTTCCTTGCTTGCAGCTCTTTCAATAGCTCAGCCCCGTTTCCCTCTCACATTTGTTTTTTCCCCGGACAGCCCAACGTGTGCGCAGGGTAAACGGGTCGTTCGCCTGAGCAGGTGCTAAACAAATAGGGAAGGAGGCTAAAGCACAATTCCTTACTGTTTTTTTCTCTCACGCCATCTCCGTCGTAGCTTGCCTTTGTGCCTTCCTTGCTTGCAGCTCTTTCAATAGCTCAGCCCCGTTTCCCTCTCACATTTGTTTTTTCCTCCCTGTCCCGCAGCGGTGTGGCTAGCGGCAGGTGCCTCTACCTGTCCCTGCTCCGCCGTTCCTGAGCAGGCAGCTGAGCATCTGCGACCCTTCACTCAGAGACCAGGGGTAACATAACTGCCCCAAAGGTGCAGCAGGACGCAGGGATGCTAAGGTGTCGCTAAGGCTGGGAAAGCGAGCGAACCGTTCAGCCGGATCCAGTGTGCGTGCCCAAAAGCAGCCCGGTTGCAGCAGGGTGTGTATGTGCATAGAAACAGGTGCTGAGGCTCTTGCTTGTCTAAAGACGTGCTTAAGATCCATCTGCTTCTCTTGGCGCAGTTGCCTACTGCCTTGTGTTTGTGGATTTGATGGAGCAATATATATGTTATTGTTCTGTAGTTGCAAAGCTCAAGGTCTCTTCTCAATTCTAGTGTTTTCTCCATCAAATCTGTGGCTGTGTTACTTCTGCAGCAGGGTAGTGGCTTGGCGAAGGCAGGTGGAACTGGGAACCGGGAGTGAGGAGTAGGTGCTGGCCGCAGAAAATGGATGGTGAGTGTGGTGAGGAGGCCACCGCTTCCCAGCAGAGGCTTGGGAAACTTGTGCTGTGTTACGTATTGATTTACTGGTGTAAATGAGGAGTAAACTAAGAGTCTTTGCTGTGAAGCTGGAAGCAAATATATCCCAGCCTTCTCTTTGTGAATATACACCTTATGGTTTTGCACTCCCATCCGGGCTTGTTTTGCATTAGGGGTTATGTGCCGAATGTAACTGACTTTTACATGAAACTATTACCTAATAAAAAGTAAATACTACAAATGGAAAGAGGAAGAAATGAGAACTACAGACAAAGGCAAAAAACTGCATTCAGCTATATTCCTAGAGGCCACAGAATGATTTTACTGCAATTAATGCTATTTTGCCGGTAAAATGGAAGAGAATGGATCAGTGGAGCAGAGAAATATATGATGGTTGTCGTAGGTGGTAGAAGCTGCAAAGACAAAGGGCACGTGTAGCAGCAGCACTGAAAAAAGAAGCAGGGAAGACGGGGCAATCTTTCATGTCTAGACGGAAGGCTATATATACACGGCCACTTCTCGCTAAAACTCGCTGCGTGCATAAGCATTTGACAGTAGCAGAAGGGAGGGGCAAGTGACTGATGGCTTTCTCCCCCCCTTACACCCTTGATTCCCCTCACCGCAGCCCTGAGGGGCTGTCATTTGGTTTGATGAGAGCAGGGCGTATGAGGGAGAACTTCCAAATTACCTTTGCACAGAGGTGTACAGCTGTGGACTTACAGTTTATCCTTATCTCAGGATCAACCCAAAGCTTCAATAGAATTTAATATATTTAAATAGAAACAAGTACACGCTTGACTTGGTTGCTCAGAGCAAGTGGTCCTATGCGTGTCTGGTGTGGTATGAAACTGTTCAAGGAGCAGCTTAGAACAACTGCAGTGCTGGTTTATGGAGAATAGCAACCTTCACAATATTTCTACGGTCAATAGGCCTGGTCCAGCATGCGTAAGGCAAGGAACTACTTTAAAAGATATTTTACATTTTCTCTGTATGAATATAATTAAAATACTTGTTCTTTGGGGTCTGGTAAAGCCTTTGTTTCATCTGACTTCACCCCTGAGCAATGTTGCTGCTGTTAGATAACTCAGACTGGCTGTCACGGGAGTTCAGTTTGTGGCTTAGCTAGAAAGGGGCAATCTGGCCAAGTTTCGTTGCTCCTGTTGCCTTTTTGGTAGTTGCCGTGGGTCCAGACCTTTTTGTATGTAAATATCAGATTTGGAAAAGCAGCCCTGCCCTCCTCCTGTTGTTATTTACATGTCAGATACAGCAGGAAAACATGCTTTCTAAAATTGTCTGCAGAGCAGGGCTGCAAATTTACTAGAGGCCAGGCTGGCACAGTCTAACATCCTTCCATAGTATAGGTGTTTTCCAGTGCTGCTATCTGCAGATAGATGACCTGTTTGACTCCTTGTCTTAGTGAGACTGGAAACCAATCTTCTGACATTTGGCAGGTAATACAAACCTTGTGTCAAGTGTTAGATTAATGATACAGATTTGTTTTTAAAAACATAGTCTCAGAAGACTTTTTTTTTAATTTCTGATTCCGCTTTTATGCAGTGTTTGCCATTCACATGATGGCTAGAGTGAAATGCAGTATGGGTAAGAAGGCTAGAGCAGTGTTGTCTTCCACTCAGTTTTGAGCCGGTCTGTTATTTTTAATGTTAAATATATGTGTTTCTAATACAATGAGGATCAATTCTGCTATTGATCCCTAGCCCCTTTTTCCTCAGTCTAGTTCTGGCAAAATGATGCTTTGTTATTAACTTGTTCCTTTTCAGGGGAGGAAGAGGATGATTTTTATACTGTAGGATGAAAGTACTAAGCCAGCACCAAGCTAACATCTCACTTGTGCAGAAGATCAGAAGACAGAGCAAGAAGGTAGAGAAGATAGAGCAACTTTCTTAAGATATTTTAAATTCAAAGACAAAATTGGCCAGTGCTGGTTTTCCCATGTTTTTCCTTCAGGTAAGATATTACGTATACTTTGCTGTAGGTGGGACGGGGTAACAGCATTGGTCAAATACAAGATCACCCTTCCTCATCAGGTCACACAAAGCAGTCCACATAGAAGAACTGATAAACTTACGAAAAAGAATAGGAAATTAGCACTGTCATATGATGGGAGACTTTATCTAAGAAAAAAACCTTGCAAGTGTCTGTGAAAGGAGTGAGAGGAGATACTTAGAGACATCCACAGCTGCCAGATCTTATACTGGAGTCACAAAATGCCAGAGCCTCAGTATCCTACTGTTCCTGGGTGGCTATATGACATAGCATTTTCCCAAAGACAGTCTGCTACAATGAGACTAGTATGATACTACAGTCATACCTTAGCCCAGGCAAAGTGTGCTTGACAGGGATTTAAAAAGGAGCGCTACCCGATGTTTCTGTTTTCGACCTATATTTATTCTAAAGTCTGCAGAACAAAAGAGAGTAAGAGAATAAGAACTCTTTAAGGCAGCATGTCTGGAAGATAATTAATGATGGGAAGATCACACTTTCTTAATGCCTATCCTGTAAAGGGAAGGTTGGCAAGGTTGTTAACATGAAGAAACATTTGTTTTGTTTTGTTTTTTAAAGTGCCACCTTTCAATATGTTGGAAGGTTGCTATCAGCTGCAAAGTATATGGGGCAGATAGGATGTGTACAGTACCCCTTCTAGTCCCTCCAAGGACTGAGAACTCAATTTACACTCCAGTTGGGACATGAGTCGTTTGTGCTGGAGGAAGAACTGTAAGAGAACAGCGAATAAGCTAGCTACGTTTTCCTGAGGATTTCTGCCTAGGAAAAGTAGTTTTACACTCTGGTGAGAGAGTTTGATGGTAATTCAACCCAGAATGAACTATTTATCAACAGAGTTAAAATGGCCCAGGTTAGTTTGTCAGGAGATAAACCATGGGCTGATGGCCAGACCCTAAGTGAAGGGGGTGCATCCTTTGGAACTGGGAGACCAGCTAGTGACCTTGATCTTCCACTCCAGACACTGGCAACATGAATTTCATGAGTGGAAAAAAGATGATAATACAAGGCCCCTTGGAAAAATCAAGCATCTTCCCACCTTACTGTCTGCATCTGTCTCTATGAGGTATTTTTCACGTGACTGGAACAAGCTAATTTGATTCTTGATTTACTAATTCACATACGAATACTTTAGTTCTGTAACATGTACTTTAAATTTGTATATAATGCCAGTAAACATAAAATCTTGCTGGATTGTCAACGGCTAGAATATTATTTCTTGAAACAGCTTTCTATCTCCACCTTCAAAAAGTATGTTCGTAGTCTGTTCTTGTCTACTTATACACGTTGCCATGAAGGAAGTAAATCCATTTTACTTACTACAAGGAGAAGTAAAGCTTACATAAAAACCTTAGTTTTCTTTTGAAAATACTCTTTTGTGTCCACGCCCTTCCTCTGTGGAGCTGTTGCCAACTATTTTGCAACTATTCTGTGTTTGTCTCTTTCTGTGACCTCTGAGCAGAGTCCTTGAATTCCAGTTTGTTATGTAACACAGAGCACACTTGGGAGCCCAGTCATACTGTGAGAATACTCAAAAATAAGCAGAAAAGAGTAAGTATTAGCCACCTAAATGCTTTTAGTGAGCCGGGCGAATTTCATTCGTTCAAGAGCTGGAGTGAAAACTTAACTACGGTAGGTGCTTAACTACCCCATTATCCCTACTTGCTGGAGGTAGGGGTGGAAGAAGTGAAGCCAGGTGGAGAGGTTACCTGACAGGTGTAAGTCAATTGCTTGTAACACTCTGATAACTCTTTGCCCTCAGATCCTGCCTAAAGGTCCTCTTCATATTGATTGCTAAAATAAACTGATGTGTATGAAGCAGTTTGGGTTTGTGTCTTAGTTTTTGATGAGGGCGAAGGAAGTGGTAGTGTTTTATATGTTGGAGATTATCACAGTCTGAGATCCCATTATGATAAATATTGCACAGAGGAAAAAGTACTCTTGCTTTGAGGAGTTTTCCGTCTTAATGCAAAAACCATCTAAAGAGAGGTGTAGTTGTACACATCACCTGGTAAGTATAATCAAAAACGTAATGGTATTCTTACCCTGTCTTTCCCATTCCCTTAGCTTAGTGTTGCAGTCATTTGGTGCATTTCTGTCTCAGCTGAATGAGAAAAATAGACAGGAATGTGTTCTGTTATTTTTGCACAGAGTATAACGTATCTAGGGTTTATTTTTGATGTCTTTTGGCTCTGTTATAAAACAAGTATGAAATAGGAACGTATTAGTAGAGTGCTAATCTACAGGACGTTATTCTGTAAGGAGCATAGTGTGCCTCAGTGGAGGCTGCCAGTTATGCCAAATTTACTGAATGTTTGTTAGAGGGCGGCCACCGAGACTGAGCATTTGCTACTGCATTCAATATCACGTGTGATCTAATTTGAGGCTGTGGAACCTAAAAGGATATTTATTCTAGCTAAAGCCCCTATACTGCAATGTGCATGTTAATTCATGACAATAAGTGAAGCTGAGGGACTGTGTGAATGCAAAATGAAGCATCTGTATGCATGCAGGATTGAAGCTAATTGAACAGTTTCACTCAATGTGTAGAAACTTACTGTATAATGGATTAAGTATTATATGGGTTAGAAGAATAGCATTTGTGTATGAAGCTCACAATGTATTTCCTCTTTTTAGTGAAAACACACCCTTTTAGGCATATCAGTTCAATATTTTATACTGCAGCAGAAACAAGGTCAATGGCAGCTGCACTAATGCAGTTTTTGAGCCTCTTGATACTAGTCCCATAAAAATCCTTGCGCTTTTATCGTTGCCTACTTATGTGGATCCCATTTAGTCATGCACATTGCACTCAGTATTGAAAATGAATGTCAAAGACTCATAAATTAATGACACTTGGTATCACTTTGTGAGAGGGTGCTGATTTTCTAAGAATCAGCCTGAGAAAGCTGCATTGCATCCGTAAATGCTAAGCTACATGGCTCATATGCAAGAGGAAGAAACAGCTCTGTGTTTCTTTTTAAGAAAAACAGAGGTGTGGCTACTAGTTGATACTACCTAAGCTGAATTCTTTTCTCTGCTAAGGAAGGACATAATTTATCCAGTTCACAGTGAATTTCCCCGCAGATTTTTTGGTTATCATCCTGGGTATTAAAAGAATTTCCCAGGAGCTATCACCAGCTAATTTGTCAGGCATTCTTGAGCCAAGTCAGCAATTGCAAATGAGGCAAAGGATACTGAAGTAGTTTGTGACTGCAGTTAAATACGGTACTTTTTATATAGATTCATCTTTGACCAGGCTCTGAGAATCAGGAAGGTGGAAGTATTCTTTTTATGATCTAGGAGCACATGTGACAGGAAGAAAGGAAGGAAGTGGCTTTTCTATTGACTGCTCCCCACCTCTGTCAAAGCCAATTTTTGTTGCCAATATCCTATCCTTGAGACAGTTGTCCCCCTCCTGTTCCTAGTACAAGTGCTCATTCTCTCAGTATCTCATATTGCAGTGTTCCTCCTTGCAATGAACCTCCTTCTCTCGTGCCTTCATCTTTTGCACCGGATAAAAAAGGGGCAGACTGCACTAATGGGAATTCTGCAACAATGCTGTGTAGTTAATGGTTCTTGCCCTACTGTTGCATGATATTTGTTCATAATCAGAGTGTTGGTTACCTAATTTATTACTTATTTTTCTATAAATTTCCAAAGTCCTTAGTAAGCCTGCTGTCTCATACTTGTGTAGCCACTTTGTTTTTTTTCAGAGGAGAGAATTTTGTTTATTATGGCAAGTGATAACCTATAATGATGCACTTTTCCTCTACACCAATCGCAGTTTTTCCTTCTGTTAGCACACTTGTAAGTTAGAGATTTCTTTAGTCTTGTCTTTATTTCTGCTTTGGCTGTGACATATTAATTTCCTGCTACTGAGCTTCAGTGCTGATCAGGTAGAGGGCTTAAATAATAAAGAAACAGATTTTAAAAGAAAAGAACCGTCTACCTAAGCATGTGAAAAGACTGAGATGTAAGTAAAAGATTTTTCAGGATTTGTCTTTCACTACTGCAAGACCTTTTGCTTCCAGTAAGGATAAAATCACTAGATTTGGGGTTGCAGTTAATATTGATTAGAGTGAGATAATAAATACCAGAGGTGACTGCAATTTAGTAGGCAGAGGGTTAACAAACTCTAGAGATTGAAGGCTGAAATTAGGTACATTCAGGTTAGAAATTAATTGTAATTAACCAATGAGAGAAATTGACATTTCCCTCCATCGCAAACCGGAATAGTTGAGCTATAGGCTGATTCCTTAAGTCCAACTTTTCACTCATATTTCTTTGACAATTAATTCTGTGTTTTGCAGGTGGTCAGACTACAGTCATTCATTGTAGGCGAAAATCTATGACACTGTTGTGTCAATGTATAAAGAACATATAAAAGCCTGATTACAGTAATGAGAGTAAGAATAGCATCAGCAGATAAAAAACACAGTTTGCAGGCTCCAGCACAAGTTTTGTAATATTTGGGCCATGTAAGCAATGCTTTCTTTAAATAAAGACTTATTTAGCAACAAACCCACTATTCTATTTAAATTTACTCTAAAGTAAGTGATCTGTCTTACAGGTTCACCAACCATGACAAAATCCTCACTCCTAGATGCTTACCTTCATTAGCCTGTTTTGGTCGGTTGACAGACGTTCCATTTGTGTTCAAATGATAAGTGTTATTAGTGCTAAGCCTTCCATGTGTCTGTTTCACTGGGGTACCATCTTTCCAATTGCTGTGTCCTCAGGTTGCAAACTGATAAATAAATTTTATCACATTACCATAGCATACAGGAATCTCATACTTATACTAGGAAAATATTTTAATTGGTGGCTTTTAAAGACAGAGAGATCACCTTGAGATGATGATTTATGCTGTTTGATGGTATTTCATTAAAAATAGCTGAGCACATGTTATCCGTTACTCTGTCACCTTTGATTAGTTTAAATGTAGCTATGACTGTATTCTTATTACATGAATTTATCTTCTAGAAATGCAAAACAAAATATATTTTGGGGACATTTTTACCATTAAGTTAGAGGAGATTCCAAGTTGCCAGAACAGTAAATTTTGGGAGAGATATAAAACCCAGTGTCTTTCTACCTTAACCAACAGAGATACAACAAGATCCCCAGTCAGAATAGATTGTGTAGTATCTGCCTACCACATAGTTTTTACACATTCCTTTGAAACATTTGGTAATGGCCACCCTCATAGCGAGGAAACTAGATTAAACAGACGATGGGACGAATCCCACACTGAATTATTTGTTGTTTCATGCAGAAAGTTTTCAAGAAATATACTTGATAGTGGCCATTCCAGCTGGTATAGAGTTACAGAGCAGCCTAACAAACTGAATGTGAGATTTCAGAGAAAAGAAAGCACTGATTTATTTCTCTTCTGCCTGGTAAACAAATAAGTGAAAAAAAAATTTAACACATGACAGAGTGATGATTTTCATTATGTAGTCAGACAAGTCATTTCAAGTGTTTTACAACCTTTTCACCTATTTTAGTCAGCATGAAATTTAATAAGACACTGAATGGCCATCATAGGCCTCATCCAGCTTCGAAGTCAATGGAATGACAGCCAGACAATAATTCGGAGGACTCTAAATAAATCCATGCAAGCATTTACTTTCACATTAATACGCCTTGAAGAAAGCTGAATACAAATGACTGTATTTACTGAATGTATTAGATAATAAGCAAACCTTAACAACAGCTTTCCACCACAAATTAGCAAATGTTTTAAATGAAATTGTTATTTCTACTTCTCAAGACAAACAGTATTATGTTAAGTATCTTTGAAAAATAAAAGTTCTTGGACTTAGGATTTTTTGTATCTGTTTATTAAGAAAAAGATTTACATAGAAAAAGATCAGGGGAAGGTAAATAATGCAGTAGAATTCATTAGCTCAGGTAATAGCTGTACAACTCAATCTCATAACAAAAGTTACAGAAAACCTAAATAATATAAAAAGCCACTTCCAAAATGAGACTTTGACAGAGTGAGAACAAGACATGAACAAGTAACATCAACTAGTTTGTGCAATCAGGGATCACAAGGATATGAGAAGGACACAGCCATTAAACCTCAAGAAACCTCATGCCAAAGGATATTCCTTTATCAGTATTATGCCTTCAGGGGAAAGTGAGATTATAAATGTAATTCTTTAAGACATCTTTGTACCATCTGATGTATCCTGCAATTTATCATTTATATGTTGATTTTCTACCTCTTCAGAGCTGGAAAGCCTTCAAAATTTTGCGTAGGAGGACACTGTAGTGAGATGGCATTTGGTTTTCATAAATTCCCAAACTATTCTTAAAACCTTCTTGTTTTGTCTTGTCTTCCAATGGCAACTATTAGATTAGTTTCCCAAGGACTAAATAGAGGAAAATAAGATAATGAGGAATACTGAGTTCAAAGCTGTGATCTGAACCCAGTACTCTTACACCAGAGTCTGCGACAGCTTCTGCTGAAGTTTGCAGAAGCTACAGAGATTTGTTGGAACACCTTCAGGGCAGCTTCCTGTGAACGTGTGCAGATTTACCAACACTCCACCAATGGCATGGTTAGGAGCAGCATCACAAACTAAAACGTTCTCATAAACATTGTGTGGATTAAAAAAAAAAAATATATATATATATAGGGAAAATGATGAGAAAAGACACTTTAATGGCAATAGAAGACCATGATTTATTTTTACTGACTTCCAACTGGTGATAGATCATTTGAGAGACATCCAGTATATTCATAAGAGCATCACAGATATGACTATATATGCATATTCTGTCTATCTCACTACCACACCTTCTCTCCATAAAGGCACTACCTATAAATAAAATGAAAACAAACACACACAGAAAATTAGGTTAATGCCAGAAAAAAAACCAGATTGCTTTTATGGACTTCTGTGTTTATGTTTGTATACGTTCATGCTTTAAATGCACGATTTTAAAATTAATTTATAAAGTCACCTTCATTTTGGCAATACAACTGATAAAATGAAACATGCAGAAACCTAACACAGAACTCAGTGCATCATTTTGTCAGAATGAAGCAGTTCTTTATCCTTTTATGCGTTGGGGAATACATTCATATTACAAGGCAAAAAAACAGACAACATCTGGCTTCTGTATAATGTATCTGCTTTTCCACATCTTCTCCAACATCTTTGGATAGTCAAATCTACTCTTGAACACAGGTTAAATTGTATGGTTATATTTTAACAGTCTTCATAGTGCAGCAAGGCAAAACACAGCTGCCTGTATTTACTGTTCTATTTCCAGGCTATCCATTTTTAAGTCAGGTGGTTTAAAGCTCATCACTTCTTCGTATGTAAGTTCTGCAGAGAGGGGGTAAGGAAGAGGGAAGAATTATGTGATATTATCCTTAAAAGAAAATTATTCTAGACAAAACAATTAAATGGATACATGTAACTTGTAGTTTGTATTTCCAGCCTTACTATATAGAGTCTAGATCCAAAAAATACCTTGAATTCACTAGGAATCTTTCTGTTAGCTTCAGATTATGAATTAGGCTCACAGATACTATTATTCTACAACATGTCTGTCCTCTGCAGCTAATTACTAAAGCCTGAAACGGAAACACACATTACGCTGTCAGATGACCTGCCAAAATGATGTAATAAAAGACAAAACATAATGTAAAATGGAACCTTTAAAAGCTCCCAGACAGGTTTTAAAAGTGTACATTTTAACTGCAGAGAGTGTTCTTTATCATCTCAGTCAATTGCCTTCAACATAAATCACTTGGGATTCTGGGGTAATGCCTTGGGATCTAGGTTTGGGGTTTTTAATTTTATTATAACTAACTGAAGGTCTTCGGACAAAATATTCTTTTGCCTTAGAAGCACGTAACACTCAGTCCTATATTCACCAAGAAAGACTTAAATAGAAACATGGGCTCCCTGCTATTTTACACTGCTTTAGGAATAGCCTGTTATCTTTCTGTGCTGACATGTCTTATTTTGTGCCTTGCAAAGTAATGGAAAAATATTCAGTGGTTACTTCCTATGTATTTTCTCCAGTTAGATATCAGATTTTTAAGTACCAAATCCAGCTCATGCATAAATAAGTGGCTAACAACACATTACCTCAGGATTTGTTTTTCAAATACTGACTGATAAATCACATCAATCAAACTTATGCCTATTAGCTAGTTTATTTAAAAGATCTGTGGTCAGAGAGAGCTAATACATATACAAGTGGACCTGGCGCTCCTCTGGAAATTACATAAAAATCTTAGGGCTAAATCTTCCTTATGCTTTGATTTTGTTACGCTGCAGCATGGTATAAGGTGACCAGTGGGCCAGCTTAACCTAATGAACGGGTAATTCCTCTGAAAGCAATGCCAAGCACAGAAGCCCTGAGGTTGAAGGACTGGTTAGGTGAGTCAGTGGCAGGTCCAATTACACTGATAAAAACATGCCAGAATAAGGTGAGCCATAGGTGAGCTTGGGCTGCAGACTTCAGCAGTATGTAACCGAGGCTAAGGAAACCCTTAAGACAAGATGTCCAAAATCGCATTTCACTTTGGGTGCTCGCTCCCTCTCAGGATCAATCACTGCTGATTTTTAATTTGAACAGAAAGAGAATGGAAATATGCCACGGATGTCTTGAGAAATTGGGTCACTATTTCATTAAGAATACATTTTATGCAAATGGTGACTTCTGATGTCATTTTATTTAAATGTGGCACATACTGCACTTGAAAATAAATTATTTGTTAGTTGACTTAATAAAATGACAAATATTTTCTGTTGAGAAGTGTGCACAGTTCTGTTCTATTTATTCTTGCCTCTGCCATGAAATGCTTTCCCTCTGGGGACAGAAACAAGCCTGAACGGTACAGAGATGGAGAGGACAGTTTCTCTGAGCTTTGTCCTGAGGCATTCTTACTCTTGAAGTCTTGATTTTATTTGTTTGATCCCTCTCAATTTCATGAGACATTAATGTGACTATATTTTCTTCAGCTGTGCCAAGTATAATGGATTTAAAAAGCTTTGTGGAAATCAAAACAAGAGCATTCTCAGAGGACTAAAAAAACTCCGTGCTATCTGCTTGTGTCTCTCTTGTTCCTTTTCTAGCCATGTTTTCTCTCAGAACTAACCGAACCTACAAATCTGCATCTGGTTAATTCTGCTGTTTCCAAACAACCAAAAGCCTGTTCTTGTAAAGATAATGGGGTTACTACTGGCATTAATGCTATAGGAGTATTTTTATAAAATTTTTATTTACAAAAAGTATTGTAACATTATATAAAGAAAATCAGTTGTTTCATTTAGCCAACCGTTTGATCAAAATTGTTTTTTTATTATGTTCTAAACGTTATAACAATCTCGATTGCACATGGATAGAATTTGGCCACTGAAAAGTGAACTGTTACCAATAAAACCATACACCCTTTCATATGCTCTGGCCTCACAGGTATGTTACTGACACTAGTGAAGTTTTATTTCTAACCTTGTCTGGTGGAAAGGGAAAAAAAGAGCAGGTTATTATATCATTGTGGTGACAGGTTAGGTTCTCTTACATGGTAAGTAAGTGAGAGCAAGGGGTCACAAGTTACGGTTACTTGATATAATGTCAATTATCCATTGATACTCAAAGCTGAGTAATTTTTTCTGTTAATTTGCTTGTTTAAGCAAAAATAAACTACCAAGCACGTATGGTTTTAATCCCTTTTCCAGGCTTATAAGCATTATATTATTAAAACATGCTCATAAAAATAGTAATAAAACTAATGATACCGTTACAATTCCTGACTCAGTTTTTACCAGGACAGTAGTTTTTGTTAGGAAAGATGAATAAATATTTTATTTGTTAGGATAGTGCTTTACTGAGCTATATGGAACTATGACTACCGAAATATAAGAGAGAGAGATTACAGATAGCTTAATACACACATTTGCAAAAAGCTTAAGAAAAATATGCATTTTTCAGTAAAGGCAAGAAATGAGAAATTATTTTCTCATTCAGTCTACAGTATTCAAATGATTAAAAATAAATAATTCAATACTTACAGCTTCTGATTTTTCTAAGTACATGTAATAAAGAACATTAAAAATGTTAGTATGCTTAATCCAATACTGACTGTGGTTTAGCTTGCTATGAAGACATTTCTACACTGTTAGTTAATCAGTTATCTATTTTGTTCAGTTGCCCCGATTCCTAACATACTTGTGGCTTGTGTCACTTAGTGGAGTCCCAAAAAATTTCTGTACAGCACTTGTAAGTTAGTGTGGTCCACTTTTCTCAGTAGGTAGCCCAGGGGTGGTGGTCACCTTGTTTTGAAGGCTAAGAGGAGTTAAGAGTATAGATGCAGATCGTTCTGTGCAAGTGGTGCCCAAAATAGTTTTAGGTATATTTAATTTACTGTGTCTCAAAATATTCACATCAACATTACTGCTGGTTTAAAAGTTGTCTTTTGACACTCTTCTAGGTAAAAACATCAAAAAGATCATGTCATTGTTTTTTTCCAGGAAAAAAAAAAAAGGTTGAGGATTCTTCTTTCTGCACACTTCTAAATCCTCGTTTTTTCTAACCTTTATTTTCAATCAGTTTAGATTCAGCAAGGAATATTTTTTTCCGGCTTTTTTCTGAAGGAATCACTATACAAAGATACCTATTAAAAATACTCTCTTATATAAGACTGCCTGTTCTCTTAATTATTCAACACACAGGAAGTAAATATATGTATGCTTCAAATACCTAGAAGTTTCTGCTTCTCTTCATTAACTCAAACAACTGAAGTCATCAGAGCCTTAGACTTAGTATTTTCTCCATTTTCAGAGCACAGAAGCTTTCTTAGGGGATTTTTAATGCTATATGAACTAAGCAGAAGTGTGAAGGAAGTTTATTTCTCAAGATAAAAACATTGCCAGGAAGAAGAGCTGCATTTCCTGTGCCAGCACAGTTTTGAGATCTTTGTCTCACACGTCTTTTTTTCTGCATAAAGAAGGAATTTCATCTGTAGTTGCAGCAAAGACTGTGATGTACAGAAATATACTGCTGCAGAGTTTATAGTCTTTCCTAGAGGAAAGACTCTTCCTTCCACTTCCCCATTTCAGTTCAGAAAGTGTTAAGCTAAGATTGTTCCCAAAATAATTTTAATGGTGTTTCATCACAAACAGAAATCAGTTTCATGAATTGAAAATTGTTAAAACTTTCTTGTTAAAGCCTCAGTCAACTGAAGAAGTAGCAGGAATTAAGTCATCCACAGTAGCAAACTGAACATTGCTCATGATAAACAAGATACACGTGGGGTGTGGTATGCTGCCAGATTTTGCAGAAAGCACATGGAATAAGTGATACCAGCCAACTCTCATTTTCTGTACAGATTCAGTAGGATTCCAGAAAAACCCTTTTCAGGGTGCTAGGAGGTAGCTTTATTGTCAGAGAGATCCACGACCCATTTTCTACCTTTTTGTAAGGTGAACTTGCTGTAGTGAGTCTGCTAGTCTTCCCTCTCACAATCCCCAGGATAGAGGGTGGCACAAACGCAGGCAGGTGGTGGAAGGGCACGAGGAAGCTATGGCCAGTAACTTCCATCATAAACCTACCCAATATGCTAGTTTATTTATATCAAACCTCTGTAGAATAAGTTACAAAGTATACTAATAGAAACAGAAGAGTATTTACCATATTGAATATAATGTTTCATCTTAAGCCAAGGAGAGGGCTTTATTAAGTAATAGGAATAATGAATTTTTTAGAACATTACTGTTTTAATTTGAAATGTCTAGTAAGAATGTTTTAGCATGCTATATTAGACAGTAATGAAGCTGGACTGTACTTTTCAGTATACTTAAAAACTTAATGTTTAGCCATACTGTTATTTCCGTGATACTGTAGTGCAATACAAGCATGATGCAAGCATGGCATTAGCCAGTAAAAAAAAAGGCTGTTGCAGTATTTCTCAAGGATGGGGTGTAGGGTGTAACCCCAAAGTAAAATCCTCACCAACTCTCATCTCAAAAAGTCAGTAGGACTGTTTAGCCATTAATCCCAATTACTTGACTATATGAAGATTATTAGCAAAATCAATGCTTATATAGACAATTTTCATGTCTGGGCTTCAAAACTGCCCACTTTTGGCAGACAGATTTGGGAGGGGGAAATGCAGGAGCTGAGGCATCCTCTAGTGATCAGTGACAGACAGACAAATTGCTCTTTAATGGCAGAGGGGTATTAAGAGAACAATCCCTAAAACCTGTATGTGCTCAAAAGTATTCTAAGTATATTGTGGAATATCTAGCAAGTAGCTTTCAGATTACTGTGTACTGGATAAGTTAAAGATGAAATGAACATGTTTGAAGAATTTTAGTACAGTAAGAGCTGTTGCCATGCGACAAGATTTCTGATTTCTCATTCATCTTATTCTTGTGAGGCTCAAAGAGACTGCAAATATGATAAATGCTCTAGGTTTATTTGATGTTTGTAATAGTTATTACATTTATATTTGTATGTATAGGGCTAGTAATCAGCACTTCCTATAAAATTTTCAGGTGACCATTTAAAGAAACAAACCTGACTAAAGAGCAAATATTCAACTGATTCCTATTATCTTTATCCACAAAGTATTTCAAAAGCAAGGTTCAGATCAGCTTAAAATCCTGTAGTTTATCTTTACCTTCACTAGCAACTCACAGGTGAAAGTCACTTGAATACAACCCAAATATTTCTCTCATCGAACAGTTCCCTAGCTTTCCGATAGAAAGCCATCCCTAACCTCCTAGAGAAGAGTTGCTGCTCTGTATTATTTACATAAACATGATTTAGAAAACCACACAAGAAATTACAGTCCATATGACTCAACTGCCAGCATGAATATGCTAACATCAGACTTGCTGTATTCTTCCAGAAAATGGTCTGGGTCAGGGTTAGAGCTGGTACAGGTGCCTGTAATATCTTAGTAGTGCCAAGTGCTTTAAATCTGCTGGAGATTTAGTTAAAAGAAAATTCTTCCTGCAAAGGTGCAAGCAGGCTGAAGCGGCTCCATCACATCTCTGGTCCAAGCTTTCCTATTCCTTCATTATTTAAGGTGAAAAAGATGATACTATGGCAGAAGCTGAAGTGAAACAGAAACTGACCCCAGTCTCAAGGGGGTAGAGCACATTCTGTATGGGTATATGGAGATGACTGCTCCTCCCTGATGCCTGAAGCTGCTCAGTTCTGAGTGAATGAAGTGTACTTCACTTCCTTAAGGCCATCAGTTCCAATGGAGAGGCAGTCACACTGAGAGCGCCTAATTGTCTCTTAGAAAAAAGAGGTAGCCAACCTTTCTGTCAAAGGCTCCTTCTCAGGGTACCAAATTATCCAGTTAAAACTTTGTCATGTCTAGTCTTTCTAAACTGTTATATATGTTGGCTGATGTTTATGGGCCACAGGAGAGATCCATACAATATGCTAGGCAAAGTCAGCAGGTGTGCGGGCTTCTGAAGCAGTTGTTACAGTCTAGCATGACTATTCAAAACACAAATAGGCCAAGGGCTGTGTATTTTGTTCTAAACTATCTGCAGGGTGTACGCAAACAAACATCCATGGATGCACATATGCAACTGAAAGAAGAAAAAAAAACTTCTTTTCAGTTCTCCCCTTAAGCTACCATACCATTCAATCTTCTGCTTCTCAAAGAGAATATGCAGAATATTAAGAAATACAAAATAATCCCTACCTACCTGTCTCCTACGATTTCCTTATTAACACGCGTGCACTGGAAGTCATAATAACCACCATATGTTATTTAAATGGCCTACCTTATTTGGAGTCTAATATTTTTAGCTTAAGACATTTAACAAATGCAGTGTGCACACAGGAAAAGTACTAAAGTGGAAATTCACCTTTACAGAGAGGGCTAACATCAAGTATGTGCATCTCCCTACTCCCACAAAACCCCTTTAAGCTTTCATTATGCACAGTGCACTGGTAACTTTCAGCTATGGGTGAATATTTCTAGGCAACAAATGTGTAACTCTGGTTTTTGCATTTACTCATAGCAAACTATATGAGAACATATTGCTGGCTCTGAAGAAAGTTAGGCCAGAATCCCAGTGTCACTTGCCCTAGATCTGTTACTTCTGCTGAGGATCTGACCTAGAAAATCAGAAGTAATATAAAATGTGTGGTTGCGTGGTCACTAGCATCAGCTTCTAGTTATGTCTGAAACTGCTGTAGGAAATGTAGTAAGAAGATGATAGAGGAAGTAAAATAACGGGGGAAGAGAGTGAAATCCACAGAGGAAAGACAATCCTTTCCACCTGTCCAGTCCCACAAATACATGGACTTATGTCTGTTTCCTTGAGGATTCAGAGCTCAGATTGTTCTGGTTAGAAAGAGAGCAAAATTGTTACTTAGGTCAAGTTTTGTTCTGTATTAAGTACTGCGTGCAGTCCTCTCTTACCTTTCCATTCCTCTATGGTTCGCTCTTTATTCTCTATTGACTCGTCATATAGCTCGGCCTCAGGCTCATCATCTGGATCGTGATACTGTACAAAGTATGGATGTGCAAGTGCTTCTGAGGCAGTAATTCTTTTATCGCTGTCTAATATAAGCATCTTCTCAAGAAGATCTACAGCTAAGGGAAAAAGAGAAGCTCAGATCAAAACCAGAAGAGAGAAAGTAAAAGAGAGGCAACTGCTTGTACGCAAATCTATTCTCACTCACCTTAAAAATCAGCTAACGTTATTGGAAAAAACAGGAAATATTAATTCAGGCAATATAACAAACAAGTTTTGAAGATTTATATGCTGAGCAGAATTTTCTGTGCTTGTGTCATACACAACGGTTCATTTTGGTCTATTTGATACCTTAAGACATCAAAGGCCCTGATTCTGAAAAGTTTTCTGAGTGCTTAAAAGTTATATATGCTATATTTGTGCATCATGTGCCTAACTTTGGTGCTGACCTGTGGAAATTTAAGTAATTTAACTTGTGAATGTGAAATTACACTTTCAATTGGCTGCACTTAAGAAATCATCAGAGGAAAATTCCAAAGCAACTTTAAAGGAACTTTACTAGCCTAAAGTAAATTCAAATATGTTCACTTTAAAGTTGTCAGTTCTGCAATATTAGAAATGAGAGACGTCTGTAAGGCCGGAATTGGTTTTGATATGAAGAGTTCATCACAAATATTTTAAATATTATACAAAAATTATTTTTAGTGCTTTCATACAAGCATTGCCATCCATCTGCCTCTGTGATATTAATAGGTAGCATATACTCATGAAACTCATGCAGATAAATTATATTTTTGATAAGAAAGCATTCATAACTGCTTGTATTTGTAAGAATAAAGTTGTATTTTAACACACAGGGAAAATTCAAAACATTTTGAACTTAAAATACTTCCCTGTACGCAATGTTGTAACATACTCTCAGTGTAACTGACCAGGCACTGTAGCAAGGTGACTCAAATTACTCAAACCTCTTCTTTGCCATGACACAACAGATGGCTCACTGGAACATCTCTTTTGCATAGGCAGACCCAATTGATTAGATATCAGAACAGTTGTGCGGGATCAGAACAGAAGTCTGCCTAGCTCAATATCCTGTATCCGACAATGGCTAATAAATCCATAGGAAATAATATTCAAAAAGGTCAGTCAAATAGCTATACTTCCTGGTATATTCTTTTGCATACCAGCAATTGGGAACTCATAGCTGTCCTGAGCCAGAAGCCATGTCTTCACTCTACATCTAGTGACATTTTTATTTATTCCTGCTACATATAGGTGGCTTTTGCTTTCTAAAATACCCATTGCCTTTTCATACACAGACTGTTTCCTTTAGGAGCTTCCTGTAATCTCTACCAGAAAGAAAAGACATAGGCTTCATGAAGGGAACACAGTCTCAGGATGGAAGGTTAAAGAATTATCTTTTCACAGATCTGATCATTATTATGGGATCATAGAGCAAAGTAGGACTTGAGTTTACGTGGCAGTGAAAGATTTCAACTCTATCAGTCTGACTTTCTTACCTAATGGATTGGCACCACGAAACACTGCTTTCAAATCCTGTTGAGGCATATGTGGAAGAGATTCTATGTATTTTCTCGCCTGGGAATAAATCAATACATATCACACACACACAGAGGATAATTTTGCCCAACAGTAACAACATCAAGTCTAAAAAAATAAAAATAATAATTGTTACGTTTCTTATACGTGGGGAACCTTCTTTCCATAAAATCAGTGTGTGACTTTAACAATCACTCAAATATATGCTTACTACACAGGAGGGTTTTAAACAGGTATATTTTACTCTAAAGGTTGTTTGTTAGTACTTATGTTTTCCCTATACAAATTGGTTCGTTGCCATATATCCCCAGGAAACACATGCATCTAACTTTCAACCAGACACTGCTACCTACATCATCTTTCAATTACCCTCAACAGACTGGTATAATCCAACCTGTTTCCTTTCCTTCCAACTCTCCTCTGCTGAGGAGTAGTTTCACTAACCAAAGAACAAATCCTGATACTCCCAGGGTGCAGATCTTCAGAAGTTTAAGAGAATTTATAGCTTGCCTAGATTCCATGGCTGTGAAAGGCTCATCCAAACACAGCTAGAAAAGACCTACCCTTACATCTGATTCACAGATGTCAGCATGAGGCCTGACATTATATGAGCCACAAATTTCTGGGATGAGGTGGATAGATAAGAAAAATGCTTTTGGGTAACTGAAGAAGCTGAATGCTGATTCTAATGGGTGTAGATAGAACTGGCAGTTCTGGAAATGAAACAGTTAAAGAAGAAGAAACCCCAAATTAGTACAAGAAACAGCTGGTCTCTGAACAAACCCTAATCCTTTTAAAACATACATCTGTGTTACAGGAACAGTCTCCCTGCACAGGTGGCAATCCCATTAATTCACTATAGGAAACGTAACTAGCCATCCTTGGCCTACTGAAGACAGCAAAGAGAACAAAGTTGTTCATACTAAGCAACTCCACAGCTTTAAGTCAGGGAGCGGATTGAGAATTGTGGACCTATGTTAAGGATTGATCAACTCAGTATATTACAAAGCTACTACAAAATACTCTGACATATTATCTGTGAAATCTTATAGCCAAAGGAGACAGATCCTGTAGCCTACCCAGTTCACTCTGCCATCATCTTAATTTTTGCAGCTGCAGTGAACTGATATAAAGACACTTTAAATCATTACAAAGCAGTCTCCTTTCAAACTGTGTTCTATTGTAACAAAGCAAGTCTATTTATTTTTTCTGCTTTTTATTAGACCTAAGCAAATTCTACCATAACTCTAGACCATCAGTAATGCATTTCAGAATCTTAATAAGGTTCCAGTTCTAACAGAAGCAAGACTTCCTGGTTTATATCCCCAATCTGTTAAAACTATATTAGCATTTTTCCCTTTTTATTATGGGAGCTGATAGCTAGGCTTTCGAAAGGATGATTTTCTTAGCAGCTGTAGCTAGTCATGCAGAGTCATGTTTGAAGAACAGGCAAACACAGGATTCACTCCACCTATTTTATGTCCCTAAAAATTAATAAAGGTAACAAACGCCGGCTGGAAAATCAGGGTGTGCAGCTCCTATCAGAATTAAGTTTTCTAGGGCATTAGTTTATACATATGTATAAACAGCAGAGCAAGAGAGACCTGTCATACATTCTTGCATGGAAACTATGGACTAGGAAACAAGACGTAAATTTATCTTAGAACAAACATCTGTGGATTTGATATTTGTTTATGTACTGACACATCAATTAACATCACTAATCCAACCATGACTGAATAAGGTGTGGTCAAGATTACTTCCAGCCTTGTCCCGAAGTCCTTTGAAAATAACACAGGCCTGTCAAAGCATCTGTCAGCTTGTCCTCTGTGCCCATATTCACCACAGAAACTCCCCCAATAGAATCTAGAGTTTTACATTATTCTGAAAGTAATGAAATGCAATTGCAGTTTAAACCCATACTAAGATGAAAGACTGGCAAACCAGCTCAATAACCTGTGCTGAAACATCCCATTAAGTTGATCTTTTAATTTCCAGTTCTTTAATCCTCCGCTTATAACTGAAAATAGGTTTGACTTTTCAGGAAATTTCTGATCTTGCTATTAGAGAAATAGACAAAAAATTATCCAGGATGACAAGCAGCATTAAGAATTCTCTAAACAGTAAGAACAAACTATAAGGCAAAGAAGAACTAGAAAGAAGGCAGGGAACGGACACTCCCGCGCAAGAGGCAAGTACCTCAGTCTTCTTTGACACTGCTCCTTTTACTAGGTAGCAGCAGCCTGGAGGTCACCTAGCAGAACTCCCATTCATTAACTTGGCTCTTGTGTTCTCCCTAAGCTCCAGAGGTATAATTAGCCCCCCTATAACAGTTTCAGAATTCCTGTATCTCACCAAGGTCTGCTCTGAAACAGAAGAAATTAAAGAGAAGCCAAATACCATCTCCAGTAAATATTTAAGATGTTTAATCTCATAATCAAAAAGCTTTCAAACTGACTACTGGTGGTCAAGTCACACATCTGCGTACACTACTCTGAATGCATTACTGCAGAAGTCACAGGCTCTTAAAAACACACAAAGGCTATATAAGGACCTATGCTTAGGACAGCACAATGCTAGACCTGCTTGTTGGTCCTATCCCCCAGGACAAAGGCTGTTCCTCTTCCTGCCTCAAACCTTCTCAAGTGCTCAGCAGCCACAAACTCTGGAGCTATGCGCTGGCCTATGATGATGATTTTTCATTAAGCTTGAACCTTCAAGAAATATAGTACTGATCTGGCTCTCCTACTGTTCTTCCTTACTTAACCTACTGGAATATTTATTTTTAAGTTCAAAGAAAACTCATCAATATATACATTTGAGCTGAAAAGTAGACATTAGTGTTATAAATCTACCAAACTAGCATCCAAAGTACCAGATTGACCTCATTTACCTTTTCTAACAAAGCTCATATTCTGCACTAAGTCTTGAGTAGAAGGATGAAAGCAGTGTTATAACTAAGCTGTTATTTTATCTTCTCTTTATTCCATCTTACCAGGCCACTGACCACCTGAAAAATACCTTACAGGCCTCACATTTCCTGACCATCTAACTATTTAGATGGTATAAGCAAAAGCAGCTCCGCTCTTCGGATAGCCTCAGGATAAGGAAGAGCAAAATAGTTTAGTTGTAAAGTTTAAGAAAAGAAAGATGTAAGCAGCAACAGCTTCAGCTGTTGATATCAGTGTGCTGTTATTCACTTGAATTTTTATACTGTGCCCGTCACTTGCCTTTGTTAACCAATATCATATCTCATTCTTTACAACCCAGCTGGACATCCATGGTTATTGCTTAAAGTGAAACTTTTTAAGTATAGCTTTAGCAGAGAAATGAGGTGGGAATTATTCATTTACTAGATTACTGCCTTCACAAAAGCTATATGGAGAGTTACAAATCACATTGCTAACAATGCAGATATTAGCATGAAAGCAGACCATAAGCATTCAGAGAGAGAAACAAATACAAATTTCAAATTAGCGATCCAAATGCAGAACAAATAGTATATGATTCTGATATATCTGGTTATATCCCTCCCAAGGATGAAAAGTGCAAAAAAGGAAAGAGATGTCAGATTTAATAAAAACAATATAACGCTCTGAGCTAAACATCTGTTTGAATTTTATTTTTTTTGTTGTAAGGATAGCAGGAAAACAAAAGATCATCAAGACCAACTGCAAAACTCCTGTCAAAACTCCTGTGTACATAAGGAGGTTCTTATGTACACCCCTGTGTACATAAGAACAAGTATAAAATTTAATCCAGCTGATAGTCAAAGCATCTGGATACCTCTAACAAGAATATTTTTCAAATAGTGCCATTCTAGCCACTTAAAAAAGGAGAGGATTTTAAAGTATTTGCTCATTTCCAAATCAGAACATCCAAGTAATACAACCAATGACATACAATGCCACATAGAGAAAGAAATAATGAAAAATCAGTTAACTGCATGAAGCTGTGAACTCACATGTTCTGATGATATCTTCTTTAGAAGTTCAGAACTGGGAGTACCCACAACTTCCATTATTCTCTTTAGCTGATCAATATCTACATTATTTCAGGAAAATTAAAGGCAACGTAATAAAAAATAAAACAGCAGACAATCCTTCTGGGTTTAAACAATTCGTGATACGGTTAAAATATTTACGCTAGCGAGCAACACGACTACATCATTTTTCATGCAACCATATCAGTTTATATCAGCTGAAGCCTGGTGCGAGAGTATCAAATTCTTTACTACGTAATATGCAGCTCTATCAGGTGTGCCTATCTGTGGGAAAAAGTGCATATAAAATATTGCTGCCCTTGTCTAGCTCCCAATTCAACATATTCATAAGCTTAGTTTTAATAGTATGCTTATGTTGCAGCGAGCTGAATGATTTCTGAAGAACAGTCTTATATATTACAGCAAATTGGGCTAGATTATCGACCCGAGGTCTGCTAGGTGGAAAATTCTCATTTGGTAGATTTTTACATCCATTTTGTATCACTTTCAGGATTAAAAACTTTAAAATGCACATTTTTCATTATCGTATATGGCCTGTAAAGTGCATTACATTTTCCCTAGAGACTCAAGGTTATTTTATAGCTTTAAGTAAGTTGATGGAATCATGTAATTGTAGACAATATTTTAGAATAGCAAAAGTATCTTATTTCAGGAAGCCTAGATGTAGTGATTTTTCTAAATACCACATATCTGTCAGGTAATCAAACAGTCTAAAGCACAGCCATCATCCATATGATGAACAGCTTCGCAACGCCTGCGGTTACTGTAGAGACTAAGAAGGATGAGCACAACACATAGGTCAGTGGAGAGACAAAGTCTCTTAGCTGCTGTCTTAACAGTTTTTCAGGCAATTACAATGTCATGTTGTTTTGCACCTGTCAGTTTCTTAGTTTTAGCAGAACTGTTAGCTTTTTGGGAGGTGGGATTCAGAGTAGGAAGAAAAGTCAATATTCAGTACCGCAGAATGTGCCTTTGTTTCTCATAGTAAAACTTTTCCTTCTCTGATGCAATTGTTTCCTAATTCTTCACTGTCTGTTTTTCTTCAGTTGTCTTTTATTATTTTTCTGGTCTCCTCAGCAACTTTTTCTTTTCTCTTATCAGTGCAGGAAATCCAATGGAATTCACTGATACTCCAGCATGGACCATACAAGAGTACGGAAGAAGACACAGTATTTTGTTGCTTTTAGGGAATATCAAGAACTGCTGGCCCTTTTTTTTTAATAGGACACAATGCCTCTTATTTCACTTATTATTTAAAAGCGAATTTGTTTAGATTTTAGGAAACTCTGAGCCTGACAGCATTTCTTTTATTAAAAACTATATTAGCTGATCCAAAAATACTACCTTTTCTCTGCTTCACTTTTAATGTACGTAATTTCAGTAGCATACACACATGGATGAAGTCTGTTCTGTTGTAACTAGGCTATTATTTAAATATCTCATACAAAATAAACAGTAAGTGTAACTTGTTGTTTAGGAACATCTGTTACTCTTTTTTTTCTACCAATGCGTCTCATACGCAGCTGTCATATATATTAAACTGAAAGACTAGCAAAAATTGCTTTTTTGAAAATTTGTTACCTGAAAAACATTTCCATAGAGTCACTTCAGTCATTAGAAAAAAAGAAGGAACTAGACAGAATTTGCTATAGCTGCTGCCTTTTATGTAAAGGATACAATCATTTCCTGGAAATAGGGCCTTCCCTTTTAATAGCTCTGCCATAATGCATCCAACAGACCAGATGTCAACTGCCAAAAACCAGATAAAAATACGTATGATGAATGAGAAAGATCATTAAACAGATTGCTTCTTAGTTTATAACTACATCCAGCTGAAGCAAAATGAAAGTCTTCATAATTTACCTGTTTGATTGTAGTGCATCCAGTTTAACATAATTTCTGGAGCTCTGTACCACCTCGTTGCAACATAGCCAGTCATTTCATCATCAGTTTGTCGAGCTAAACCAAAGTCTAAAATCTACAGAATAAAAAAAAAAATTTAAAAATTCTTTTTAATTTTGTTATAGGAACTGACTTTCTCCATTGTTTACTTCTGAGTTTCTTCAGAAGTCCAAGTACCTCACTTTCAGTGAAGTTCAACGGCAAAAGATTCAATGGAGGACTTCATCTGCTCTCCCTGCTGTGGGCGCTCTGTGGGTCTACACAGAGACATCCCCAAAGCGAGGGATCTGGCCATGAATATATGACTATAATGTTGAGAAAGTTTGCCCTCTAAGACAAACTTTACATTTTTCCTCAAGCTCAGTTTTCCTCTGTCATTCATTTGCTAAAAATAAGCACTGTTGCTATAAAGATGAAACATTATCAACTGGGAACATTTGTGTAAAATGCCATCTCCAAATGCCGCTAGTCATAACATTTAAAGACAACACAAGCTAATCACAAATCCCCAGAAGTTCGACTGATTCCCTCTCACAGCTATTTAAGTATTGTTACATACAGGTAGCATTTATGCAAATCACACCTCATTGTGATGACACTAGGAGAGAAACATATATCCTACATAACAAGGTACATTTAAATCACATGCCATCTGTTTTCAGTAGAACCCCCCTCACTGCAAAACAACAAAGGAGCTCTGTTTAAATGCATATGTTACTCATACGGTTGATGGCAAAATGTTATCCTCCATATGCTCTCCTTTGCTAAGTTTGCATTGATAGGAAGTTATCTCAGTTAATTTTTTCTGCTCGTTTCTTTGCTTTCTATTTTTCGATTAGTCTACATCCTACTAATTACGGAGCTAAAAGGTATCCTTAACTCTGAGAGATACTGTTGTGAAAGTGTACCATCTAAGCTTCAGCGCTGTTCATTAAGTCAGTCATCTGAGATACTTAGCATCTCTTGAAGTAGAAATGTGAATTAACCCCCTGATGGGATCCAGTATTATTTATTAAGCTGACAGCAAATCCTTTTCTTTGGTAGCAAGGCAATTTTAAGAGTATCACTAAAAATTGCCCAGTTACAACCCAATTTAAAGATATAAAAACCCTGATGAAAAATATTAAGGTATAAGTAATACCTTAGCATCTTACTTTTAATATACTTTAAAAGTATTATTTCTTAAATAAGCAAAAAAAAAAAAAACCACCATGAGGCAAAAAAGGCATGAATAATGGCTTGAAACTTCAACACTAATATCCTTATTCTAATAAGGCTTTCAGCAATATTTTTCTTTAATTGCTGATCCCGTCTGTCAAACGTGTACACAAACACACGCGTTCACGCACGCACACCTTCTTTTTGCTTCTATTTAGTTTTACATCACAGGATGTAAAGCTTTAAAAACAAACAAAGCAAACAACAATGTAACAAATGGAGAAAGGACGTGCACAGATAAAATAATAATAGAAAAAAAGATTAAAAGTCTCCTTTACTTACAGTACAAAATATGGGACACATTTTTGAAGTGAATAATGAGACCCTGATGATGCATAACATTTCACAGATGCTGAACGTATATGCATGAAAACATTAAAGGGATAATCATGAAACTTGCTGAGCATCTGTAACTGTCACTAAAACACCAAGGAACTATAGTTTCTTAGCACAGATCAGGATTAGTCCCAGAAGCTAACTGCATTTCTCTTATTCAGTACTGTGATTTTCTGCTGTTCTCATAATATTTGGAATTTTTCCTTAAATCTCTCACTGCTAGAATAAAGTTTACATCAGAGTCTCACTCACAGACAGAAAGATGTTTCTGGCTGTCACAGAGAAATGCTAAACTTCTCACTTTTTAAACGTAAAGGCTCCAGAAGCTAAAGATATCTCTTCCTTCCCTAGACCCTCATTCTTACTATATAGTATCACACAGATACAGAAGGATATGTATTTATACAGACAAGGGCATTAAAAAAGTATTTGAGAAGTGTGGATTACAGTTGTTTTTGTTTCTTTTTTTTACTGCCTCTAACTGGTAATGTAATTGGTAATACTGGTATCTTTTTTTTCCTCATATCATTATTTAATTTAGCTTGTATGTTCTGTAGAAATAAAAATGAAAGTTATTAAGTTGCTTCATATAACCATTGCAGATGTAGATACATATCACAGCTTAAAATTTCAAGATATACTCAGCTGAAGTACTCGCTCATGGGCCAAATTACTAACCTACGTACCTTTTGTGAGGAAGGAGAGGCGAGCATTTTGCAAAGACAGTTGTTTCAACAACACATTAACATTTGGGAGAAAACACATGTTCATGGAAATGTTTTTTCTGTGCTGGGGAGCAACAGTAGCAAACAGATGAAATTAATTGAATGAGAAATAAAAATGCCAACTAATGTTTCCTCAGAGAACTGCCAGCTTGAGAGCTATTACAGCATTCATCATCACAAGAGCATGACTCCTACCCTCAATTCACAGTCTTCATTTACAGCTAGGTTACTTGGCTTCAGGTCCTGTACCAGAACAAATAGAGTTAGTCAGATACTATTTTAACCTTTAAAAGCATATTATAGCAATGTCTTGATAACACATTCAATGCATGGAGGGACATGCTTCATTCATTTTTATTACAGCAATGAGTGAACTCACCCGGTGGATGATTCCAGCCGAGTGAATATACTGTGAAATGAAGAGGGAAAAAAAGTAAGATTTGAAGTTAGAAGTGAAAGGAGATGCAAGTCACTTGATCTATCTTTTTGCTACTGAAACTGATGGTTTTATATACAGAAAAGAGTCACACCACATTTTTAGGGCAAACAGAGATGTGACGATCTTCAAACCTATTTGTTTTCTCTTAGCCAGGGCTAGATATTTCCAGAGAGGTAACCATGAACACTGGATTCTCTCATAAAAAACTGCAGTTGCAGTAATTCTTCTGTCAAAAGTTTCATTCTAATTTGAAATTTATTCCTGTCTGGATATCCATTATTATATCTTGATGTCCATTTTGATCAGCTAGTCTCTCAGTGAGCCAGTGGCCTAGGTAGCAGTACTGACTCCTAGATGATATACATCTTCCCATACTGTGAACACCTCACATTTCAGTGACCTCCCCATTCTGAATGCAGGTGAGAGATATTCATGCCTCTGGACAAATTAGAGGCCAGAATATCCACCTAGGCCACAGCATTGTTTCAAGTCCACTTTCAAAGGAGGGACCTTAAGTAGCGTTTAGTGTCTCTGCTAATTTTACATAAAACGTAACAATTTAAATAGAGATTGAGAAAAACTTCCTCTGTAACAGCCTTCACTCAACTTGTTAGGATTAAGACATCTCATCTATAGTTTTACTGACAACAAAGATCAGTAGGTCCTCTAAAACACTCACTTCTGTTGATGACAATTTAACCTTTCTAGAAGCAGTGATTGTATGCAAAATCTGTATGGGAAAAACCTAAAGGAAAAACACATTCTTCTCATTCCATATCTATGTACTGCTTATCAAAAAGGTAGGGACCCTATCCCTAAATATTCTTCAGAATAGCTGTAACAACTGAATGGAGAGGAAACTAGAGCACTGTTTGCAACAGAATCAACTATGCTTGTGTTGTGCTGAGATAGCGGTTCCTTTAGGTAACCCTAACAAACCTTGTACCAGCAGTTCAGAAACTACTGAAACTGCTGGACTCCAGGTTAACGCTTCACGTGTTCAGACAGCTTTTTCTGCAGGACTTGATGCCTGTGTTGAATACTGCTGAACACCTGTACCAGTGAATCCAAAGCCTACTCAGGTATGTAAGCACAAGCTGTAATGACTGCAGCACAGGTGTAAACCAGGAGTTACCTGTGATCAAATGTGCTCTAACTAATGAGACACGAGAAATTCAATTCCAGGAGAGAAAGGCAAGCCACAGTCAAACTCTCCTCTTTAAAACAGAGCTTGAAATGAACCTGAATCCATTTCTGAAACTAATTTTCTCTTTGGTGCACTGCTCCTACTATTATTTAGCTCTGACACAACATAGTCTTTTATTCAAGACTGCAAGCCAGATAATTAATTCTAGAATCCATCTTCCTAGTTAAGCTATTAACTTGAGTAAACGAGACAAAGCAATTAAGGACTCAGTTCTGCAATCCTTATTCACTGAAATCTGCACTTAAATTGACAGAACCCACGTGCACAAATATGAGTTACTGTCTCAGGCACCAGGTGACTTGCTCAAAGCCATGTAACAAGTCTACTTCATAGCAATGATTTACGACAGCTTTCTTTCAAACGTACAGCTATCTTCCGTGTCTAAAACACTGAGTATTGGAAAGTAAACTGCTAAAGCTGCTGATCCCTAGCTCTCTTTTCCTTTTGCTTATGCCTAGAAAAAAAATTATTAGCTTTGGTCTGAAAAAATGCTTATCATCAAGTACTGGGAAGCATCTTCTGCATCTGATTATAGACACTTATATGCTTTATGTCAGCAAAACGATCTATACACTTTAATTCTTTAGCAAGAAAATTTTGCTACAATATCATTGTCTGCACTATCTAATTGTGTACATTTTAATGGATATGATTAAACAAAACAATGATTTTACAAGCAGTGTAAATCCTATGTGATTGCGTGTAACATAGTACACTGCTAGGGTAAACTTCCACAAGTTTTCCAAATAATGCAGCTAACTTGCTTATCTCTCCACTCATTTGTTGCTCTCTACAAAAATCAGCACTGCAGTTTTTCAGACTGGCTTGCGTCTTCCAAAGCATGAACATGAATAACTTGCCGCATCGCACTTCAGACGTTTGCCCTGTTCATGAGCAGATAGTGAAAAAGAATGTGAATTTTATAAAACGCACACTGTGTGCTACAGAATATGTTCACTTGAGACATCACGTAAGAAGTGCTTCTCCTTCATTAACAGCTTCAATAGATACTGATCTAAAGTCAACTGTCACAGCGAGAATTCACATGTATTGTGCATGAAAACACTTGCAGGCTTGTGGTTTTAACTTTGGTTAAAAAAAGAATCGGATCATTTCTGAAATGATTGCTGCAGATAAAAGGAAACACAAATATTTGTGTACTCTTAACACACAAACAAAAGTGTTTAAGTATTGTCAAACAAAAGTGTTTAAGTATTGTCACTGCAATGAACCAGTCATTACTACATCTTGGTTGCTGACTCTAAAATCCTTACATTCAGCCAGTACCTTAAGACCTCGAAGCAACTGATATATGAGAAACTGTATATGGTCATCTGTCAACTTCTGGCACTTCACAATGTTGTTCAGGTCAGCACCCATTAAATTTGTCACAAGATACCTGTGAAAATAAAATACATACCCCACAGATCAAAACAAAAAAACACACCGCATTTAAGACTGGCAGAAGGTAAATCCTAAAAGAAGAACCTCTTAAGAGTAACTAGACAGTTCAAGGTAGGTTCCCTTTCCGTTTACTACTAACATATGATTTATTTCCTTCCAGTCAGCTATGAGCTTTAATATTGAAATCAACTATGAGCTTTAATATCAAGAAAGAGAAAAAAACTCTTCTCGGACGTTAACAACTCTTATCTATGATTTCTTGATGACACACTACAGCAGCGAGGGGAGAACGTATCGTGTTTTGAGATGAATAGGAAGCCTCGACCCACAAGTGGGAGCCCGATATACCCAAACGACAGTTACTGTGAGGCCCTGGAATATCTAATGATGCAAATCAACAGGGGATCAGTTGAAATAAGAGTGCTTTGTTTAACTCCTTCCACCCCAACTGGAGGTTTTCTTTTTTGACCCATTTTGCAGAAACATCAATTCTCTTCCAAAGGAAGTTCTTGGTACAAAAGTATGCACCGACCAGTCCCAATTCTGATGATTTAATTTCGCTTCACTGAGTCAAAGGCATTTTGACTCACTAATTTCCACGGAGCCAAAAAAACGCTAGTTACTATTACTTCTGCTAAACTGTTGACCTAACTGCTTATACTAGGTGACAAAAGCAACTCCACATAAACGGTATGTTTGAGTAACATGCATGTAAAACTAGCCCTAGATCAGTCAAGAATCTAGCTTAAATTCACCTTGTCTAAATAAACTAACAGAATACTTTCCTGCATTTCTGCACTACCTAATCTAGCTGTGAAAAAATAATGTACAGTTGACATATAATTGAATTGAAGCAGCTTTAAGTTTATTGGCCTTTAGGCAACATCAAACCATCCACCAGGTACCTATAATCTTTTCCTTCACCGTTCAAAAAAGTACTAAAATGAGAGCCACCCTTCTGCTTTCCTGTTTGTGGAAAAGCTGCATAAAGACATATTGGGGTTCTTTACACAAAGCCGTCCTTGGCTTCAAGTGCATTAGAAAAGTATGTGCTTCTTTTTAAAGCCAGAGCTGTATTATCCTTATTTACTTACTAACTAGTCAAAATTATTTTAAAATGTTACTTACACTTCATTAAAATTTTCTATGGATGTTGCAGGTGTAAAAACATCTAGCAATCCGATAACCTGAAAGACACATGAATTGTCATTTTATTTTTAGAAATATATAACACAACATATAATTAGTATTAACAGTACTTAGAATTTTTGGCATGAAACTTACAAATACATGGCATATGATCATTCAGAAAACTTAGTAAAACCAGCATAATAGGTGGCTTGTCCAGGGATCAAACTCAGCTATCTCCATTGCCAATAAAAAATATATTAATTACAAAAAGTAGAACAAGGCTTCAGACAATCAGAAATCAAGCCAGGAAATGTAATATCTCACAACAGAAAAGCTGGTACATGGCTTGTACCAGGCATTCACAGATTTTCTTGTTCTGCTGTTGATAACTTTTTTAGTATCCTTTCTCCAGGATATTTTTCAATCCACCATATTGTTATATTCAGGCCTCAGTTCAGCAAGCTACTTTTAAGCAGATGGATAATCCCACTGAAATCAACTAGTTCTGACATAAATTTAGGCAAGTACTAATGTAGTTGGGGCCTGAAGTTCTCCTGTCTTTCATCTAGATTAACAGGTGAATTGTGTAGGAAAAATATATTATATTGTCATAATTTCATTGAGAATTCAGCAAAAGCAGGTTTGAGGTATTTTTTCCTGAACTGATGCTTCAATAACATCCAATAGTAGAGAGCAGAACACTGTACTTTTATCATTTTAGTTTGAAAGAGTAGGATCACTTGCTTTGGATTTCATTAGCTGGATCTTCAAGATCCAGTTAGATCATTTTTCCATAAAAAGGCAGCCTTTCCAAAGACTTCTCTAAAGGTAGCTAGGTCCAAGTATCTTGGGCAGTCAGAAGAGAGCTGTACATACTTTTCTAAAAAGGCTGTACCTAACTGAAATTTAAGTCTCTATCACAAGCTTTCATCATAAAAATGAGAAGAGAAAGAACTAACTCTGCACTTACGTTTTCATGCTTCATGTGCTTAAGTAGTCTGAGCTCTCGATAGGTCCTTCTTGCATGAATAAGTGATTGAAAAGGTCTTGAAAGCTTTTTTACTGCCACCTTCTGTCTTGTTTTGGTATCATAAGCTGAACTACAAGAAAAAAGAAAGCTATATTGAAAGCATGTTCTAAGCTGGCATTTCAAAGCTCTCCACTGCCTAAACATCCCAAAGTTCACGGGAGAAACATACTCTGTTGGCGATTTTTACACCCTCCTTTGCCATCGTTTACATTTTACTAATGGATTGCAACTGGGAGAGCTAGTCAGCAGTAACCATGAGGATTCAATGATAACTCCCTTGTTTTTCACATGGCAAGTTACTGACGCTTATTGTAACGTTCAGGAATCCCCCAGGTAATCCTTCCCCATCTGGCAGGGAAAGTAACCAAAGAATTAGCTTCATTAATGCAGGTCTAGCCTCCCTCTCCAAATCAAGACTCTTTGGGAATAATAGGATTCAAATTCTGGATCTTAGTGAACAATCTGGACCCTTTAATAATTCGAAGAATGCTGCCATTGTGTCTAGCAATATTAGTTATGTCTAGCGAACATTTGCTTGCTATATGATAATGCCAGAAGTCTGGTATCACATTAGAATCTTGACATAGCCAAGGTCACAAATGTCTCCTCGGGAAATACCTGTAACAAATGAACAACAGGTATATGCCATGAACTTCAGCCTACAGATCCTGTGGACACGTAGCACGTGCTTAACTTTATACATATGGAAATGATCCACTGAAGAGGACATGAAGCGTAGGTGTGACCATTTGCACAAAAAGGGAGACCAGTTTTCTGAACATCAAAAAGACATGACAAGTATAGTAAGCCACAAATGAATACTCCTTTTATGTAACACAGGAATAAAAATGATGCCTCCATATTTTATTTCACGGCACTACAAAGTACATTTATAAAACGATTCAATTAGCTACTTTCTCTCATTAAGAAAACAATTTCTTTAAACTGTTGTTCTTGCCCGTTAAATTAAAATTCAGTTCAACTACAATACCTGTAAAATTCTCTGTTTAAAGTGTGGATAACACAATCTGCAGTTGCTAGTAACAGCATTAGTAAGCAGAGATGAACCTTCACACATTTATCCGGCAGAAACTTTTTGTGGAGTTACAAAACATTGAAAATCAAACAATATAAAAATTGCAAGTTGTGTAGGATGACAATGGTTAACAGTAACTAGATGTTATTAACTGCTTATTATTAGTGTTTTAAACACTCCTGAAGATTGTGGTAAGAGAAAAATGCTACAGACAAAAAGCATACGTCTTGCCAAGAGTAGCTCCCAAACTAATACACTGATCCTATAACCAGCTTCATGCTGGCGGCCCCTGCACATACTTGGCGCTTTACTAAAATCACGGAGATAGAAGACAAGGAATTATTTTTATTGAGAAGCAACAAATGGGTTGTAAGAACAGAATGACATCCAAAAAAATGATCACGACCCAGTTATCCTAGTATTCACTGAGCCTCTGAGGAGCCCAACGCAGAGCATAATGCAGCAATGTTTTATTAGGTAAGAATAGAATAAGAGGAAGTAGATTTAATCAGCAAGTTTCTTGCAGGCACCGTGGAAGGAGTGAGTCACTCATGAGATAAATGAAATAGATAAGCAGAATACTTAGCTAGTTTCTTGCAAGGATCACAGAAGTGGATCTTCAGGGAAGTTTTAAACGTGTAGAGGGTTGTGGCTTTGCAGAGCACCTCAGGAAAGGCATTCCCTGAGCAGAAGAAAGAAAGCACAGGACGTAGCAGCAGAAGACTGGTATCAATCTAAGGAGTGGATGGAAGGGATACGATAAAGAGACTTGTTCTGACAGTAGGGTGCGGACACAGGACACGAGCACACTGTGTTACTCAAACATGTGGAGAAGTTCAAGGAAGGAATGGTGTAAGAATTGACAACAGAGATATCTTACATTTCACATGACTGGCCACAGAGACAGCATGAAGGTTGCACAAGTAAGTCTGAAGGAATAAGAAGGAAGCCAGTGCCTCACTATTAAAATAACAAAGATTAGACATAATTGATGCGTGCAGTCCTGGCCAACAAAGCCAAAGAAGAGCACCACAAGTCTCAGAATACCTACTCTCTACACGTATTCTAAGCTAAAGCTTTTTTTCCAGTGAAAAAAGGAAATGTTTATGCAGGCAAATAAATAACATTGCCCAACACAGCTGCCTGGCTTTAACATCTCAACTCTTCTGGTAATTCACAGGCTTTCTCGCTCCGGCTTGCACTGCCCTGTGAAATACTGTGTATATACAAGGCTAGAAGAAATTAGGTTTTAAATCCCATTATCATGATAAACACACCTTTCCTCCCACTTTTAAGGTCAAATGTGGGTTTTAGTAGTTTAAAAACTGCTTATCCTTTAGATGCATTTCTTTTTACCCTCTATGTGACTCAGGGCTGGAAAGCTTTCACATGCTATAAAGAACTATTTTTTAACTTCAGTAATTCTTATGACAGCAGCTCTTTAGATGCAGGATGGAAGCAAATCAGGAGAAAGGGAAAAAAAAAAAAAGGAAATGGAAAACAAACAGAGACTCAAGTTCTGGGAACTCTAATGAGGAATTATGAATCTAAGCTGAACAGGCCAGGAATTGACTTGGTTTAAATGAGTTCCTTCACATCAAGAAACGGTACCAAACAATAACCAGAGCCAATGCCTTCAAGTTGTTTCCTTGCCTGGCTTCCCATCACGACACTCTAAATTATTAATACTGAAACATTCAAATATACAGATTTCGTTAACCTCTTCGTCAGATTCAAGAATGACTTGCATCTGTGATATCCTCTGTGGTCACTTCATAAGCAGCAGGACATTGCCCACGTTCCACCCTGTGTGGAATTACATGTTTGCTCTTATTTTAGATTGAGTCTCTCCCTTTTCTTATTATATCACCATAACTGCAATCTGAGTTGTCTCCTGAATCCTTCATAGTCCCCTGAGTAAATTGCTAGGTGGTGGGATTAACTGTTTCCCCTTTCCATGCGATCTCCCTGAGAGCATTCAGCTTTTACACGGGATCCCTGGACAGCACATCTCTGCTTCCAGTCATGGTAATTCTATGGGCCTGCCTGTGTTTAGCACCTGCACAAACCCCTCCTCTGGGGGCCTGTGAGACCAACCACTGACTAAAAGGATTCAAAACAGCTTCTTCAAAACATGCTGTTTAACCAGTCAAAGGCACACTGTTACTAAGAAAAGGGTTAGAGGCCCTCACCTTCCCTTACCCTGCACTGCACTCAACCCACGTACTCCCTACCTCTGAACTAAAACTGGAGAGAGCTGCTCTGTCAGTCTCCTGGTATTTGCATTGCCTTATAGCTCCTTCCTCTTTTGCAAGGCATTTTCTACTGCTGTGGGTCCTTTGGAGCACAGGCTTCAGCTTTGGCAAACCGGTTACGTAACACTGACTTATACCTGGAAACAAGATCATCCTTTTAATGATTCAGCTATTGTTTTCTAAGTTTCTTTGAAATTACTTATTCTGGGGTGTCTTATTTCTAATTATTACATTACCTGACATAGCTGGACAGAATACTACTACAGAGATAAACTTTGATGCTTGTAAAAGATATACCCTCTCCCATTTCTAAAATATTCTTTACTATTAGCATTTAATTTGTTGTAGGCAGTGCCAATAAGTGACTTTTAAATTGCATGTTATCATTTGGCATTTCTGATTTACTATAGAGCAGTATGCTCTAATGCCTCAATAGTAAATGGGAACACCACTTTAGATAGAACTCCTATCATAATTTAAAAAGAAACACAATTCTTACTATTTTCTTACTATACAAGAAAAAACTTCATAATAGTCCTTGTAAGAGCTTTTTTTAGATATGATCATTCTTGACCCAGAACCCTTGGCAGTTATGACAGATATTTTTGCTGTCCAAATAAAATCAAGGATGAAGCAGCCATCACTGTAAGCCATCTACTTACAGTGACGGTATCATTTTGACATAGATCAGAGGACTTAGTGTTTTCAGTCATTGCTTAGTGTTTTTAGTCACTGCTTAAATTAGACATTTTTTCAGTGTTGTCAACTCCTATATTTAATATTTCTATTAATGTTCCACTAGATGAAATAAGAATCTCTACTTATATACACATTTTACCATTCCTCAACGTTTCAGAGAAAAGTTTGAGCATACGAAGCTAATGCAGTCCAAAACCTCAAAAGGCAAAAAGCACAGGATTTTGAAACAATCTCATGCCAACTTCATGACTTTGATGGGGCATAGTTTTTTCCTAGTCGATGTTTCTAAACACTGCTGTACATAAAGTCATTCCCCTAGTGTCCATGGACAGTTTTATCTATTATGGTTACAGATCAGTAATACTGGACAGACAAATCATTTACATGCACAACCATCTCAGATCCTGCACGTCTTCATGGATTTGGAGAATACTGCTCAGCATGCCTGTTGGACTAGAGCTGTCTCCTGTACTTCCTAGTGCTTTGGGCTCCGAGAAGGCTTATTAGCTGGGCACAGCTAGTAAAAGCACATACAACATGCCTGGAAAAAGTTCAACTTGAGTGTAGTGTTTGATCTAATAAATTCTCTTCGTTCCAGGAGCCCGCTCAGGTCTAGCTGATTCAAAATGAAGGCGTGACCCAAGCTGATGCTATGTGTTGCCAGTCCCATGTGTCTGCAGTAAATTGCCAGTCTGTTCTGCAATACCTGTATCAGTTACTTCAGACTGCATCACCTCAGATAACTGCAAGGTTTTGGTGGTCTGCAAAGTGTGATTTTATGTTTGTGGAAGCACTGTATCTGTCCAAATAATTAGATATGCTCATTCTAAATCAGAGCTTCATTTGAGTAACTGCAAAACATATAAACAAGAGGTAACATTTCCAGTTTATTTTATACAAATTAGTGTCCTCGCCTGTGAGACTTTCAACCTAACACTGCAGGTTTGGTAACTGTATGGACACACCATACCAAACTTGAGAAAATGCTAGAGACAAGTGGATTGGTCCTTGTGGCAACGATACTATGTCTAGAATCTTCCCCATATTGTTCTAGGCTACTATTTTTATTTCCTTCATTGC